AAAAAAAAAAATAGAAGAATCTATGTGAAATCAAATTGACAACAGCAACTCAAAAGGTTTGACGGGAAGCCTAGGGGGCAGTGAGTTGAAGATAATGGTGATGGAATAATTTGGAAATGGATAGTGAGAATAGCAGCACAACTGAAAGAATGTAATCAATGTCACTGAATTGTACATGTAGAAATTTTTGAAATGATGTAACTTTGGCTATGTATGTTTTCACCAAAAAAAAAGGTCCTCCAAGGTCGAGAAGGGAGAGTGTTGACATGTCGTGGGGTTGTTAACCAATGTCATAAAACAATATGTGTACTGACTGTTTAATGAGAAACTATTTGTTCTGCAAACCTATATCCAGAGTACAATTTTAAAAATTTAAAAAATAAAAAAGAATTAAGATTAATGAATGAATAAACAAATGAATCAATCACTTTCTGAAATACTAGCTAGGCTTACCCAGGTCAGCCAGACGCCCTGAGCCAAGCAGGACTAAAGCAGTTTGCATTTTAAGACTCTTGTGTTATTTTACCACAGTGAGCACCAGATTTAAACAATGGTGAAACATGTTTCTCCAACAATGTAAAATAAACACACAGACCACAAGACAAGGTTCTGGAAAAATACAAAGAGTCTTGAAGTATTTAAACAACATGATTGAGCAAACAGCATGCCTCAATATCTCAAAGTACATGAGTCTTTGTCTGTTTACTTATTTATTTATTTTGGAGGGCAGGGCCAGGATTTTAAAAAACCACATTTGGTAGGTCTCATAGAGTTTTTAATAAAAGAAGCATCATTCGCTTGAGTCAATAACGCCCCCAAACTATTTTGGCTAGAATCGAGGAGATTGCCAAGGTATGCCTAGATCACAATAGAGTGAACCTACCAGTGCTCAGAAAAGCCCAGAGTATCTGCCACACAAGTGAAAGGAAAGTTGGCTTCCAAACTAGTTTCAAATTTAAAATCAGAGGAATTTAAGTGATCTCGCTGAATAAATAAAATGCCCCTGAAAAGCCTGCCTTTCTGCCAGAGCTGAGTAAGCCCCGTAAAGTCACATATACAGCACATATTTCCAGCCTTTCTTCTCCTCCCAGCTACTAATCGTCTTCTTTATGACAGCAGTGAGCGGTGCTTACCATTGCATTAAGCTGGGAGTTGCTTGCCTGAGTAATGCCAAGAATGTTGGTGGTGTGCATCACTTCGACGGAAAAACTCGGCAGCCAACTTGCAATCCGGGACCCTAAAAACAAATGAGAACCAGGCCCGAGTTTGAGAGAGCTGACTTTTTCCCTGTGTTACCTCTCCAGAGCAGGCCCCTCAACAGTAGCAGCTAATAGTCCCTGGGAGCTTACTTTATGCAGGGCTTGTGCCAAGTGTTTCATACAAATCAGCTCATTTAATCCTCACTAAAACCCCACATGGTATCTCCTAAAAGTATCCCCATTTTCTCTTCTCAGAGATTGAGCTCTAGTCAAAGCACTCAGAGGTAATGAAGTTACCCAAAGTCAAACGGTAGTAAGTAAGGTGGTTAGTATTTGAAGCCAAGGAGGCAGCTCCACAAAACGTCATCACCAGTCTTTCCTGCCTCCCAGTGACCCTCGACCCACACAATACCTCCTCCCCCAAATCTACTCTCTAGGTGTAGAATATAAGGAAGGTTTCCATGGCTCTAAAGCTGCCACAACAGGCTTCTGATGAATTTTCGCTCCTCTCTTTCACACTATACACAACTTACTACTCATTTGGAGAGACACCATTTTCAAAATTACTCTCATGAAGTATTTTCTCCTTAATAACCTGATTTCATGACCTTGGTTTTCTGATTCGAAATTTTTTTCAGAGTTCTGTAACACATGCTTGTGGCCTACTGCCACCAAGAAGTCTGTTGCTTGGCTATAGAGGCATTTCCCTAAGAAAAGGGGGGCCCAAGACACAACACCAAGTACTGGCTGTAAAACTTATTTTATGTACTTACTAGGGAGAACTAATAAAGCTTTTCACTAAGTTTTTAGGAAGAATAAGTCATAAAGTAATGGACTGCATGGCCAGGACCCATCTCCGAGATCTGCTAGTCTATCTCAGAAGTCTTACCTGGTAGATGTCTTATTTAATAGTCACTAACCCAGCCCCCTGCAAACCCCGCCAGCACCCCCGGCCTAGCCAGTGGGCAGCCCCTCCGATACTCTTTCGGAGATCTGGTCCTTCCTTTCAGGGATTTCACCAGCATGCCACCACTTCCACCATGCACCACCCTTCAACACTCAGATCAGAGATCTGAATAACATGCCGTCTAACAAAACGCCAGGGATGCCCGTTAGATAGTAGTAACCAAAATAGGAACTCCCAGAACTGAGTGGTGGTTGGACTGACAAACATCAACAACAGCTCAATGTAGTGTGAACCAAGGAAGGAGGATCGATCAGCCACTTATGGGGGTGTCCCTGACCTTAGAACTTTAAGTGTGGTTTTTATTACAACTCCTTTCAACACTGCTGGGAGGCAAAACAGTCACACTTTGTGGACAAAGAAATAGGGTTGCAGCTAAACTCTGCTTCTGGCGTTCCCTGGAAAAGTGACTCAGTGACCTTCATTATGTGCTTAAGTACTCCATCAATGCCATGTGTTATTAGCAAAGGTTACCTATTAACCTGATTAAGTGCTCTTTGAAGGCATGGTTGATTCAGTTTTACTACCTCCACCCCCGGCCCCCAGCCTCATCCATATTCACATAGAATCTAGCAAAATGCCTGACATGGAGCAGCTCCTCAGTACTGCCTACACTTGCCAAACATTTTCAATTAAAACTGAGATACACTGTTAGACTGGCCTCTACAGGGTAATGAATAATTAAAACAGCACCCCCTTGGGGGGAACACTCCTTCAGGTATAACTTTAGAGGTTGAAACCAACTAACCATCAAAGTGGAAGAAGTGATTGTGTTGGTTTAAGCGAGGTCGACCTTCAGCGGCTGCCACGGGAACCAGGTTCTCATCCAAGTTCTCTCCTTGATGGTCTTCCCTGACACGACTGTTGTCAGCAATATTAAGAGACATTCTGCATGTTGGGCAGGAGGTATCTTGTTCCAGCCAGGAACGAAGACAGGAGCTGGCAAAAAAAAGTCCAAAATAAGCTATATGAACATGCTTGCCAAAGATTAGACAGGTCCATAAAACAAACACTACACGTAGCTCAACCACATATATGAGACTAAATGGGCACACCAGCCCAGGGGTAAAGATGAGAAGGCAGGAAAGCTGGACGAATGGAAATGGGGAACCCGAGGTCGAGAAGGGGAGAGTGTTCACACATCATGGGGTTGGCAACCAATGTCACAAAATGGTATGTGTATTAGTTGTTTAATGAAAAACTAATTTGCTCTGTAACCCTCTATCTAACACAGAATAAAAATTTTTTGGAAAAAAGAAGATATATGAACATGCTTAATTTCCTTAGCATATTTCATCAGAATTCATCAGAAGTATGCTGAATGTATCAAATATGTTCCAATTTCCTATTTACCATCAGTGAGATTTAAATGTTGAGAAAAAACAATGAACATTCATTTGTTGACATTACTGCTTTGTCCTACTTCACTCTAATACACTCCTAATGTGTTCTGCTGTGAACACTAATTCATACATGGCCATCTACCAAGGTCCTAGTCATGACCCCTTTTCAGTAAGACTTCACTGCATAGCTCACCATCTTTCTTTCCAACCCTGTGTGGCTACTTCAAAATCCACATGGATGAAATCATCTGCCCTGGTATCTCATGTCCTTGAATCCTCTACTCCAATGATCTTTTCTTTCACTCTATTTTAGTACCTACTGACACAGTCAGAACCTCAGCTTGTCTTCAGTATCCTGACTCTTAACTAAAGCTCTTCTCCTCCCAGCTCATTTCTCTGGGACCCACACTCGGAAGACCTCCCACCCACTGATAACACCACTTGTTCATCAGGCATCAGCCCATCAGGTCCTCACTTCCCTCCTCGCCTACCTTACCGCACAAACACCATCTCAACTTCCTCAACCCTCCTCTATTTGTATTCTGCTTTCCCAGTGAGGCGGAAAGCTTCTTTTGCCCTCTTCTTTTAGGAGACCATGATGCCCTAATTATGGTAGACACCTGATAAACACTTGTGGTGTCAGTTACCGGAAAAGGTACTAGATAGAATAAGGAGTAGAAAATGTGACATCTGGTCCCAACTCCACCACTAACCAGCTGTGTAACCGCAGGCAAATCCTTCAACCTCTCTGGACTAATCCTCTTAACTAAAAAATGAGAAAATTAATGAAGTGATTTCTAAGGCCTCTCACTCAATGCTAATTATGTTATTTTTCTTCCAAGATCTCAAGGAGGCACTGAATAAAAATGCCCACCTGTGCTGTGGCTGTCTTTCATGTTTCTTAGTATCTGGGAGCACATGCACATAGGAAGTTACCTAGGAGAACCTCACCATCACGTGATGACCCTCCGAGTCACTGGTAACCTCACTTTGCCAGAGGCCAGGAAGTAGTAGGCCACTTCTTACTACCTCTGTGCCTTAAGAGTGGGTGACAGCAATGTTCCAAAACAATGGAATCTGTATATGTGTATACACAAGTCTATCACATTCTAATAAAGTACCTATAATTCCTGTCTGTGATAATTTAAATATTAGCCGAATAAATTATTCTATTTTTTAAAAGTCCACTTTCCCTTAATGAACACACCACTAGTAAAATTCGCCTTGTGGGGGACTCTGCAACTGTAAGACCCTTGCCCTCCAATACTGCTACACTGTAACATGCTTTTCCTAAGCAATTCTACCTGTATTTCAAAGACCACACAAACTTCCCACATTAAACAGAATAGTCTAAAAACCCCTGGGTGAGTACAACCAGTTAGACACAGTTGCCTCAAAAAAAAAAAGCTAAGATTTCCACAGTTGAAAGAAACCAAACTTCAGAGAAAACAGGTATTTTTCTACATAACTATAATATTCTATTGATGAAGTATTTCCTCCTCCTTCTAAGTATAACATTCAATGTAACTGAATATTCACTGGGCTCTAAAACCTTGAAGACACGTTTTCTATTACAACCAATTATCTTGCTATACTCACCGCCGTTGAGTCGATTCTGACTCATAGCAACCCTATAGGACAGAGTAGAACTGCCCCATATGGTTTCCAAGGAGCACCTGGGGATTTGAACTGCCAAACTTTTGGTTAGTAGCCGTAGCTCTTAACTACTATACCACCAGAGTTTCTAACTATAGTCTGCTGGAATCTAGACATTTAGCTTTATCACAAACTAAAATGAATTGCCCTCAGATGATCATCACACGAACCTGCTCCCACTCTATTAACCAAAGCTACAAAGTAAAGTAAGCCAAGAGGATGTCCTAACAATGGTTTGTTTGCTCATTCAACCCAAGGGGGACAGTGTTTTAAAATTAAATCCTAAAATTAATCCAATCACATGAATGACAGCATTTCTTCTGGGCTAAAATATACTCTGAGTTATTCTTCCCACTAGCCTCTCCAAGCTCCTTTAGGAATATCTGAAAGGTTTTTGAGAAATATGCATGAATTCCTTAGTCTCCCCAACCTCAGCAAACAGCACCATCACCCAACTCAGCTACACAAACCAGAAATCTAAGAGACTCCCTGATACCTCCTATATTCTCACTTCCCCACATCTAATCTAGCACTACATCCTTCCTAATCTCTCTCAAATCTACCTACTTCTCCCCAACAACACTGCCACCACTGTAGCCTGAGCTACTTTCAGTGCATACCTGAACCACTGTAGAAGTTATTAACCAGCTCCCCTGCAACCAGAGTAATCTTTTTAGGCTGCAAACTACACTGCACCCCTCGTCCCCCACCCACAACACCTACCACAAAACCTTCAGTGGCTTCTCACCCCTCCCAATGGCCTCTAAGCTCCTGCAGGGTTGAACTTGCTTCTCCTGACTCAGCTAATACCACTCCCTCTTACACTCTGAGTTACAGTCACACAGGTTCTCATTAGTTCCTTCAACACACCACATTCCCTCCTACTAAGGAGCCTTTGTACAAGATGTCCCTTCTGTCTCAAACACTCTTCCATCTGACCCCTCCTTCCACTAACTTCAATTAACTCCTACTCCTCTTAAGTCACTTCTTCCAGGTTTGAATCAGGTTCCTTTGTTACAAGCTCTCAAGAACCACGTTCCTTTTCTTTAGAGTACTTATCTCAACCTGTACGTATACATGCATGATGTGATTGCTTAATTCATGTTCATATCCTCTATTCAAACGTAAGCTCTGTGAAAGCAGACCACATATGTCGTTTTCATTTTATCCTCAGGACCAACATAGCACCCGGCACGTAATAATCTGCCAAAATATCTGCTGAATAACTGATACTGTAGCTCCAAAGCCCTTCTAATATTAAAAAGGAGAAGAAAACCTATTTGGAAATATGAAATGAGTGGAAGATTAAAGATGTAAAGATCAAAACTTTCTCAATATACAAAATTTACCACAGATGCAGAAGGCCAAAAGATACCTCCAGGACTGTCAACATCAAAAACATCAAAATCTATTAACAGAGTAGTTTAAACAGACACAGACCCTGTGAGATCTCTGAGAAGAAACAATGACAGGCAGTGAGGACTGAAATAGACATGAACAAGGACTCTCTGGGGAGGACTGAACCTGGACCACACACAGATCTATTCCAATCTTGAAGGACTACATAAGCTTTTATTTTGTAATCCTTGCGAGCACCAGTCAGTTCTTCTGGACTGTTTAGTGGTCCTGGTCCAGTCCCGATCTCAGCCCACTTCTCTAGTATATGTTAGGCTGCTTTTGGGCATGTGCAAGATGCAAAAATACGCATTTCCTCTCCCCAGTGAGGTAATAAGCTGTTGAAAGCAAGGATCCCCTATCCTTTTTCTTTTAAATCTTACAGGATTATTTGCTGTCCCTCAGAGCTTAAGTGGAGAAGGAATATGAAGATAGCTAACACATCCAGAAATTAAGATGGTAAATTGTGAACAGGGAACCAAACCAGCTGCCATCGAGTTGATGCCGATTCATGGTAATCCCGTGTGTGTCAGCGTAGAACTGTGCTCCACAAGGTTTTCAATGGCTGATTTTTCTCAGAAATAGATCACCAGGACTTTCTTCCAAGGCACCGCTGGGTGGACTCGAACCTCTAACCTTTCACTTAGCAGCGGAGCACATTAACAGTTTGTACCACCCAGGGACTCCAAACAGGGAACAGTCTGGCAGCACAGGGAAGAGACTGAGGGATGGAGGACACCCAAGTGCCTCCCAAGGCCTAACTAAGGGAATAGCTCTACTTCCTCTGCTAGGATTAGTCAAGCCTGGGTACAAAAAGCACCCACATGCCCTGGACAGAACACCAGTCTCATGCGGCCCTTCATGGAGCTCCTACTTATGGAAAAGATGTCCACAGGGCAGTTTCCTTGCGGCCTGCATGGAGTCCCAGCAGATTGCACAGTCGTCGTTATTGACAGCCAGCTCCTCTGGAGTTGCAACTGCAAACCTGTAAACAACAAACCATAGAGCCCAGCAGGAATCTGTCAATTCCACACACATATACCACGCATCACTTTACAGACTTCATCTTTACACAGCACAGTAACAGAGAAATTATATTCGGTGATAAACTTCCAACAATCAGAAGCATTACCCCTGCTTTCTTTTTACATAGCCAGCTAAAGGTTGAGAAATTTGTATGTAACTTTATCTTACTAACGACTCCTGTTAGTGATGACTCAAGGGAACATTCGTGGGCAAAGCAGAGGAATAAACCCCCCAGAGATCCAAACTGTTCCCCTGGACACGAACAGGATACATACTAATCTTGCACTTCAGGCTTGATTTAGCCTCAGGTTGGCAAGTGAGTGCGTCCTTCAATGAGGTTAAGTGTGTGCGCGTGTGTGTGTGTGCGCGCGCGCACACATGTATAAGGAAATGAGTCCCACCTTCACAAAGTAAAGAGGACAGAAGCCCAAGGATGCATCCATTTAACAGAGATGATGATAAAAATAATGACATAATAATAAGAGCTAATATTTACTGAGGGCCTTTACATGCCCAGATCATTCTAAGCATATTACATGCATTATCTGTTTGAACACCAAAGTTCCAGGAAGAAGGTTTTATTAATATCCTTATTTCAGAGATGAAGTAACTGAGGCACAGACTGTTAAGTAAATTGTCCCAAGTCACACAGCAACTAAACAGGAATTCACACCCAGGCAGTCTGACTCCAGAGCCTATACTCTTCACCACCCTACTAACAGTTTATGAGAGCAAGTTCTGACATGATCTGGGATTTGTTACTATTAAAAAGCTAAAATGAGCAAACTTGGGAACAGCTGGCCTGTGCTTACTTACCTGGCTTCCATGTTTCCAACCACACGCAAATAGTTCTTGTGCCGACGGATTCGACGCTGTACCTCGTGAAACAGATAGCGCAGCTGCATAAAGATCACCAGGCTGGCCATGGACAACCAGATGTTGCCAAATAACTTTAAAAAAGGGAAAAAGAATAAAACATACAATAGAAGTGAACATGAACTGGCTAGCGCAAAGGGTGCAGTGTGTAAAAAGTTCCTAATTACTGGTGAACGTGAAGTGGAAGAGTTTTTCAGAAAGCAAATGCAAATATTTATCTCATTATCCTAAACAATGTACATCATTCTTTGGCCTAGTCACTCCATCACCAGCAATTCCTGAGGAAATAATCAGAAATTAAAAAGCTTTTTGTACAAACTGTCTGATTCCAACTGTGTGGCATTCTGGAAAAGGCAAAACTATAGGAAGAGTACAAAGATCAGTGGTGCACATGGCATTACGTGTTTGTCAAAGCCCACGGGACGGTACAACACAAACAATGAACCCTAATGTAAGCTATGGACTTCAGTTAATAATAATGTGTCAATACTGATTCATCAATTATAACAAATTTTCCACATTAGGGCAAGATATTAATAGGAGAAACTGTGCAAGGGGAAGAGGGGGCATATAACTCTCCATACTTCCTGCACAATTTTTCTATATACCTAAAACAACTCTAAAAAACAGTCTACTGGAAAAGAAAAAAAAGCTTTATGCAAAAAGATACCCATCCAGGCAGCTATAAAAAAGAAAATTTGGAAATGAACAAAATATCTAGTGGGAGAATATGTAACTCATATAATATTACATCATCTTTAATTATATTTAATATATACAGTTATGTATTATTATATTTTACATACTATCATAAGTTTGAAGGTTAATTACATGAGAAAATGATATTTAATAGTTAAGTGAAGAAAGGAGGACAAAACTACCTTAAGAAAACTGACATGTGATTAAAAAAATTTATGTAAAGATGTGAAATAGCAAACAATGGAATACAATCTACATATCCCATTATGGGCATTGGTTAATTAGTTATGAGGAAATTTTTATCCTAAAGGCATTAAAATGGTTTGAAGAATTGTAGCTAACATGTGAAAATGTTCATAATACATTAGTTAAAAAAACACTAAACTATATGTCTAAAATATGTTCTCAATTAATTTATGAATGTACATATTTGAATATATAAAGAAGTAGTAAATACAAGAAAATGCTAATAGTTACCTTTGGGCATTTGTTTTTCCCTTTTTGGAAGCCTCCTTTTTTTTCACAAAAGCAATGCATGCTCGGTTTTTTGTTTTTTTTTTAAGTATGTTTTCAAAGTTACTTTAAAAAGTAGACTAGAAATGTGCTGTGTCTTACCCAATAATTTTTAGAAACTATGGGGAGAGATATTCCCTTAGATTCATGCTTTAAGAATTATGTCTTGACCTTGGTCAGCAGTTAACCCCGTCCCCCAGGAGAGCAGCACACGCCTCCAGAAAAGGGCACGAGCCAGAATGGCTCCGTGACACTGCTTGACCCAGTGCAGAAAGAGAAAGGATGCACGGCTGCCTTCAGTGTTAGAGTCTTTCATGTGGTTCATTCAGATCTTAGCCCAAATGTTTCACTTGTTAATGTACTAACCAGGGTTCCTGATTCTGAAAAAATGAGCCCTTGGAGGGAACTTACCAACATGTGAATATGGTGCATGAGGTCCAGGGACAAGAGAGTAAGTTCCATGACGAAATCTGTGTAATAGACATATGTTCCCTTTCCTTCCCATGTCCCTTCATGGTTGAGGTCCCAGAGGTGAATTACATATCTGCAACAGAAAATAGAGAAAAGCACCTTAATAATTTATTACATCTGCATTTGGTTTTAACATTATATAGTCTGGTTGTATTTTATACAGTATATCTTTTTTTAAATAATATTTTATTGTGTTTAAGATGAAAGTTTACATAGCAAGTTAGGTTCCCATTTAACAATTTCTACACAAATTATTCAGTGACGTTGGTTATGTTTTTCACAATGTGTCATCCTTCTCATTCATTCCACTGTAGTTGTACCATTTCTAGTACTGTAGTTTCCCAGCCCCCTTACCTTCTTATCTTTACTTTAGAGTGATTTTTGACCATTTGGTCTCATTAGGATGTTTTTTAAAAGAAGCTCATTACTCACAGATGATACTCTTCATTTTATGAGCCAATCTGTTATTTAGCTAAAAGGAGACTCGAGGGCTATTTTCAGTTTAAAGAGTATCTCAGGGTAACAGTCTCAGGGAATCCTCTAGTCTCAACCAGTCCAATAAGTCTGGACTTCTTAAGAAATTGAGTTTTGTTCCATGCTTCTCTCCCGTTGTATCAGGATCTATACGCTCTATCTTAACATCAACTATATGAGCAGACCTCAGTCACCTCCCTCCCAAATCCCTACTCACCGTAAAATCACATGAGCAGTCCTCACTGTCACAAGAAGAGACTATTAAAAAAAAAAGACATATTTTTTTCTCTTTAATAAAACTTCAGATTGCTCAAGCCAAAGTTACTTTTATAAAATGATGGAAGACAAAAATGTCTCAGCTAACAAAAAGTAGATTGTTCAAATTCACCAACCATTTTATTTCCTCTGCTTCAAACTTCCATGGAATATTTTCACAACCTAGAAACTCAACTCTTATTGTGCCTTTTCCTACATATAAGTGACAACCAATGATTACCTGTCCACCTCCTGGGAATGTCTTCTACAGTCTTGGGGTTCTTCCTAACAGTTCAACAATCACTTCTATAGTTATACAGCATTATGTAACCATAGTTAATTACTTAGAGCTGTCTATATACCTGGTGACCCTATACCTCAAAGTACAGCTTAGGTACTACTGTCCTAAAAACGAGTACCTGCTCTCTAGCCAAAGCTCTGTGCACTCACCTTTGCTGCCGCACAAGGAAAGATAATAAAAGAAGTGAATCAAACACAAAACAAGCCTCTTATAGTATTTGGTATTATAGAAATTGAGATTAAGAAAAATTTCCTCTTAATCTACCAGAGTAGAACTGTTAATTATTTATGTTGGAGATTAAAGGAAACTATTGTTTTGTAAATAGAAAACATTTTATATATGGATATAAAGAATATGATTTAGTTAAAAATATCAAATCTGTAACACAATAAATTATCTTTAAAAGTAAATAATAATAAACTAAAATAAAAATATGTACTATAATATGACCCAATGGGTCTTAATTTTTTCAAAGTTTGGCCTAATATTAATTGAAAATTAGAGAACCAAAAAGGGATAGCAACGTATCATTCAAATGGCAATTTATAATAAAATATATCGAAAGCAAACTAACATAAATTGGTGTAAATATAACAGATTTTTTAAAGAGAAAATATATTTGTATACCTTTTATATACATAAAAGTAGTCAACTAGGATTACAAATGTTTTTATTAAGCATTTAAATGTTCCTTTTCTAATTTTACTTACAGTACTACGCTGTTCTCTGAAATGAACACTATTAAGCAAAAATAAAATTTAACTCTATTCTAGCAAATTCCCAATCAGTAGTTCAAACTTAATAAATGTTTTGATATTAGCTAATTAGCTTTGGTATAGCGACTATTTCATTTTTTCATTAATAATAGAAATTATGGGTAATATAAAGGTATTTTGCCTTTGGCCATAAGAAAAAGCAAATATAGCCACTGAATATAAGGACATATAAAAAAAGTTCATCTCTATTGAACAGAAATTACTATTTTCAAAAAGTAAAATTTTTCCTCAATTTTAAAACATTCATAGATATCTCAGATTTTCCTTTCAAAATAATGAATACAGTTTACATATTATTCTCTAAAATCTCAATTTATGCCCTATCTAAAAAAACAGATTATAGATAATTTCATTATTAATCAACACAAATCACTGTTTATAACATCTTAAGGGGAAGACACTTTCTGCTTTGGAATCAGAGGGCTTGGATTGTGCCATCTGCCACTCTAGAATCTGAAGCAGTTCATTTCACCCATTATGGCTCAGCTCTTCATCCATAAACAGGAGTAATAAAATGAGCCAAACACATAAAATACTTAGAACAACCATCTAGAAAGCACTACATATATGCTGGCAAAAATAATTATTTTTTTAGGTTCCAGCAAGGATTATATGAAACAGCAACCATAAAAGCGTTCAGTACCAGTACTCGACACAATATTGGAGCTCAATGAATGCTAGTTAAAATCAAAAAGCAAATATCCATCAGTCACTTCATTAATGAAAACAATCTGCAACAATCCTCCAGCTTTCTTGAAAATATACAGGAATATCATCAGAGCAGAAACCTCTGTCCAGTATCTTACCTCTGCAGCCATGAAAGCTAACGTGTGCATCCCATGAGTGTAGCCTGTGATGCAACAGACAACTGCTAATCCACAGCAGGAAAGCAGCATAGCAATCAACAGAGACAGGACTCGACCATGGCTGCTCATCGGTGTGGTGGGAGAGAAGGAAAGCTGAAATGTACAGAACAGAGTAGGAAGCAGATTCTTCTTCATGGAAGCATTAAAACTTCACTGAGAAGCTCAAGCAAGGTCAATCGTGGCTTCTCTGCTCTGGTGTCTGTGCTCAGCTGCATAGTCAAATGCAAACCACAGAACAGCAGCATCCCATTACCATATGGACAATCTCCAACCCACCTAAATCTGAATATTAGCTGATATGTAGAGATCTCTGTAATTTAACAAATATAAAAATGTGCACAATATTTTCGTCTCATATTCGCGAGAATCCTACTACTACCAGGATTGTAAACCTTTGGAAAACTGTCTAAGGGTGGGCAATTCTAACCTTCAACATTCAAGAGGACCCAGAAGAGGGGCATATTCTTTTGTCTTTCTTTTATCAATCTTGCTCTAGCCCTCCTACCCAAAATTCAACTGGGGGACATTCCTAGCCTGTCTAGGGCTAGGACAACTGAAATGCAATTAGGGTACAGATTTTCTACTAATGCAATATTATGTTAAGTAATAGCTTGGAAAGGAAGGCCTGGAGCTGTGAATCCTAAGGAAGTAGGTATAGATAACAAACCAGTTTCGGAGGTTAAAAGCTTGTGTTGGTGAGGAAGGACAGGGGTTGAACTGTGAAAGAGCTTAAGGCTTTGAGAGTGAGATTAACTCACACAGAGGTTCAAGGACACTGGGTAAAGAAAGGGGCAAACAAGTCCTGGAGTCAGTTTAACCACGGGACAGCCTTGTAGGTGCACATTGCCCCTGAATCCATGAGATTAGATCAGGAGCACTAATGAGTGAGTGAGGGTTCATATGCACGGTTCTGATCTGAAGCTGAGAGGCAGATCTTATACCCAGGCAGAAAAGGATTCTGCTTCTCCAGGGACCAAGGAAGCTGACAGAAACAATTCAGTCCTGGCCTAGGGGTGGAAATAGCATAAACCAGTCAGAAAGCATCAAGGTAAGAGAGGGAAAAATATTCTACAGAGATCAGTTTTTATACAATGTATGTATATGTAGATTTCTTTGCACTGAATGATACAGTCTGTGTAGATGAGCTGACCCCACATGGGCAGTAACATAATACCCTATAGGGTGAGGGAGGAAATCTCCTGAGGAGACACTGATCCTAAATCCAAGCTGCTGCAGAAAGCTCCTCCAGAAACAGACAACACGTACCTGAACCAGGAGCCTTCCCCTTGAGCGCTACCCCTGTTATGGCTCATTCCTACTACAGATTCAAACCTGGGAAACGTGTGACTATGAGTCGGAATCAACTGGATGGCAACAGGTTTGGTTCTTTTTTTTTTAACCAAGCAAAGAGCTGGGCTAAAAACTCACATATTCAAATCGGTCCTTGCAGAGTTGAACCATCAGATGCAGAAATACAAGCCCAGCAAACCAAAGGCACCACATGACCACCTCTTCCACTGTCTGGACGTTCAGCACACCAAAAATGAAAATGAACTTGTAGAAAATAAAATTCCAAAACTTGTCTTTGAGGTGCTGAAAAGAAAAAAATTTATAAAGGTGAGTACCATCACACTTAACCGAGTTCAGAGAAGCCGGTTTCTATGGAGAAACTATTCTGTACTTAGCTTTCTAATAATTTTCTACAAGAAAACAGAAGGCAAAGAAAAAAGGGGGCACTCTGAAGGTGAATAGAGATGAAACCAAAAAAACCAAACTCATGAATAGAGGTGAGGCACCAGAGAATCATTTGTAGACTTTGGACTGTCACACTGGATCAGTCACGGAATTACTGTCATTTTTTTTTTTTTTAAGCCACTAAAAAGGGTAGTGAACCCTATGGAGCACAGTTCTACTCTGACACACAGTGGGTCGCCATGCATTGGAGTCAATTAACAGCAACTGGCTACATTTTTCACTTTAAAAAATCTGAAGCAAAAAAGGTAAAATGATAACATTCGATCAAGAGTGACGGTGGGGTTTCATTATACTATTTGCTGTATCTTGGATGGCTGAATCATTTTACAGTAAAAATATTTTAAAGTAAAAAAAAAAAAAGAGTAGTGATATTAGTTCAGTTCCCTTATGTATTAAGAAATAAAAATACCTTAGATTTTCAATGTACAATAGAAAAGAATGGCAAGGGCTACAAGTATCATTTTTAACACTTCTGCTCTAATCCAGATTAGACTCTTCCTTTTTCGTTTTTTAAAAAACATTCTTCAGATTAAAAAATAACACACGCTCATTTGCCAGTCCAAATAAAGTATAAAAAAGTACAAAAAAATTAAAATAAAATGCCTTACCATTTTTATGCATTTTTTTTGGTCTCTTCCCATGTACAAAATACCTTAATTTTCGTACACTGCTTTCTTTCACTTATCATATTGTGAGAACCTTACCAATGCTGAATAGACCACTGTAATGACTACAGTTGAATAATGAGGCTGTTTTTTCCACCACTCAGGAAACATTGTAATGAATGTCTTTGTACCTATGCGTTTCTATTTCTTTAGCATTACTGAATCAAAGGTTACATTTTTTACGATTTTCCACACATACTGTCCATCAGCTTTCCAAAGCAGCTGTGTAAGTGTATGCTTAGCAGTGTATACGTGTACCCCTCCTATACTCTTCCCTACACTGAGGATGTCCAGTTTTAAAAATCTTTACAATCCCGAAAAAAAAAGGGCAATACAAGGGGTCTAGCCCCACCTAATTAAATATACTATCAAGTCATCTATGGGGTTGGGTGGGAAGTGGGTGAAAAGGATAGCGATAGAAGCACAACTTTTGAGTCTACTTTTTAATAGCATTTTGAACCATGTAATATTTTACAAATTCAAAAGTAAAAATAAAACAGAAAAAAGCAAACCTTGGAATTGAATACAAACAGAAATAAGTCAACCTAAATATATATCAAACTGAAAACATGACTTCTTAAAGATAAGCGTTATTTCAAGAACTTTTGCACACTGTACTCTGACTGTACACTCTTTGTAGTTAAAAGACCAAAACAGAAACTAGAAAGAAAATCGAAAGCATCCCCTAGCTCTGTCCACCAAAACGGCCTTACAATAATAGTATATGTCTCATAGGATTGTTGGGGAGATTAATATATATAAAGTGCTTAGACAAGTGTCTGGTACATAGTAGGCATTAAGTGCTTAAAAAAATAACAATGTTTTTGTTCTAAACTCCACTTAACCTTTTAATATTCCATTTTAGGATTCCATGTCTTTGCCTCAGTGTTATTCTACTTCTTGAACTTCAAGCACCCAGAGCAAAGACTACGTCAACTCTGTAGAGCTCCAACCGAAAATGGTGCTTAATAAATGCTACTGGATGGCATCAATCATAACATAAGTCAACACGGAACAGCATGAAAAGACGTGATGTACCCTGAAAATACTGAAAGTAGAGTTGGGTAACAAATATGCCAGATATGATTACCTCTAGATATTCTAAAAATATCTGAAATACTCCAAGGTTATGTCTTCTGTAAATTTCAACCAGGTAGCTAACATTTTAGGGAAAAGCAAGTAATATATAATAAGGCCCACTGGTGCTAGGTCAGTCCACTAGCAATTAGATGGCCTGGCTGGTCTGAACAGTTTCTGGCTCACAAATCAAAAATTTTACTTGAAGAAAAAAGAAAAGTATCAAAAGGAGCTTTGTACCCTATATAAAGACTATGTTCTACTGGACTCTTCTGAGAGACCATTAGTGTTGATATTTTCAAGAAAGTGCTGAACACTTCCTAATGAAAAATCTCTGGGAAAATAAGAGAGTCCTGCTCAGGCGGCACTCAAGGGCTCAACCATGCAGTAACTACATTTCATCTCTAATTTAGGACTTGGATTAAAAAGGGCAGGTAAGGGAAGAGTAGAATATAGCCCTTCAAAAAGCAGTAAAGGCATTGTTGTACTTTTAATGTAGCAAGTTCCTGTGTCTTATCACTGTGACAAAATAGTGTAAACTACAATATTTTGGGGCTTTTTTCAGTTCTTGTTTTGAAGGTCAGTTCTAAATCCTTATTTTAAAACGCACCATTCTCCACTAAAATCCTTGGGGAACTGCACATCTGTAGAACAGGCTTGTAACATAATTCTTTATTGAATGTATCCCTTGCCCATTGTCACAGATTAAGTTGTGTCCCCCAAAAAACGTGTGTATCAATTTGGCTGGGCCTCGATTCCCAGAATTGTGTGGTTGGCCTCCATGTTGTGATTGTAATTTTATGTTAAAGAGGATTAGGGTGGGATTCTAACACCACCCTTACCCAGGTCACATCCCTGATCCAATGTAAAGGGAGTCTCCCTGGGGTGTGGCCTGCACCACCTTTTACCTCTCAAGAGATAAGAGGAAAGGGAAGCAAGCAGAGAGTTGGGGATCTCATACCATCAAGAAAGCAGTGCCGGAGCAGAGCACGTCCTTTGGACCGGGGTCCCTGCGCAGAGAGGCTCCTAGTCCAGGGGAACACTGAAGAGAAGAAGGCCGACAGAGGGAAAAAGCCTTCCCCTGGGGCTGACGCCCTGAATTTGGACTTTTAGCCTACTTTACTGTGAGGAAATAAACTTCTCTTCATTAAAACCATCCACTTGTAGTATTTCTGTTACAGCAACACTAGATGACTAAGACATCCGTGTATATATATATTCTGAGAGTCGTGTTCCAAGGGCAATCTCACCTGAAACAAGAACAAGCCACCTAATTTTTTCCTTGTAAGCCAATGAATCTTAATTTACTTTTCTGAAGGAAAAAAAAAAAAAATCACTCAATTTCTTTTGGAAAAGAACTCATATTCTAAACAGGGATATTTATTTATGATCACTCAAACTAGAACAAATCTATGCTTCTTTGAAAAAACTACATTCATAAAACTCATGGGAAAAAAGTTATAAAGAACAATACCGGGACAACCGGCTACACTGAATATACACTGTGGATTACGAGGACGAAAGTATCATATAAATGCTAAACTTCCTGATTCTGATAGATATGCTAAATTTATGTAGACAATGACCTTGTTCTTAGGAAATACACACTGACGTATTTGGAGGTAAAAGGGTATGATGTCTACAACTTAAATGGATCAGAAAAAACATGCATAACTAAATAAAAAGCAAAGTTAAGCAAATGGGACAAAACGTTAACAACTGATGAATCTGGTTAAGGGAGCTTTGAAAACTCTTTGTAGTATTCATGCAACTTTTCTGTAAGTTTAAAATTATACCAAATAAAGTGGGGGGAAAATTCTGGTCACAAGAATCAATCCTCCCTATGTCACCTGTGCTTGACTTACCTGCCTCTCGCTCACTCGAAGAGGACCAAACACAATACACTGGATTAGCTTAGCCACCAGCATCAAAACACAGCAAGCAGTATTTACCAGGACCTGCACACAAACCAAAAAGAAGTTTATTTTTTCCTGCTGAGAAATAAAAGCAGCTCTAGAAATTTTATTTTAGATTCTGCCATCGTTTGGAATGACTGAGCTTTTCCAATGCTCTACCAGTGCAAAATAAGTAACATTTGAAGGGGCACACTTTTATGGAGTGGGGGCAGAGATGAGGAGCAGGGAGGAGAGGCACCAGCCTTCCAGTCAGTTCACAGTTCCCTGTCCCAATATGTACACTCCAGCAGGTCACCTTCCCTTTCATTTTTAAATATATGTAGAGACAACTCATCACTGCCTCCCAGGTACAACATTTCCTACATTAAGATTTTGACAGCCTTGAAGAAAACTGTTCTAGAAATTGAATTTGCTCTGAACAGTAAAATCCAGCACCAAATATTCCACCCTGTCAAACAAATAGAAGGTGGGAGAGAGGAAGTTGGTGGTCAGAAAGAAATTATAAAACCATGAAGAACTGAGAACTAAAAATGTGTATATATGTATGTATTTTTTAAATGTGCTACAATGGAACAATCTGCCAACCAAAAGACAGCTGTTTTCCATGCTTGGCAGTGGCCTTAACATCAAGGTTCTGGGGGCAAATCTGGAAACCAGGAAGAAGAAAATTGGCAGGAGGGGCTGAGAATTGAAAGGTAACCGTGGACACCGATACAAAACGAAGGCCTTCTTCAACAGTCGGTGGGAAAATTTTAAGTCATGGACATCCTTACACCTAAATAACAAATCTAATGCTTACAAAATGGAAAAGCAGGCTGACCGTGACCAAGAGGCCAGTGTGGTATATCACGTTATTGATGTTGAATGATGTGTAAAACTCTGAGTGATCCCAAAAAGCCAAAAGGACCTTGATAAAAAGCATCTTTATCATGACTTTCACTGAAAGCAAATGAAAATGAACACCAGTTCAACACAAAGGCTGCTTCAATCTTTGATTTGCTAAGTTTACAGGAAAGCAGTCATTCTTCCCTCTACTTTTAAAAGAAGCAAATGATTTAAAAAAAAAAAAAGTGACAGAAGAGAAAGCAAACTCCAGTATCCTAAGTCCTAAGATATCTTCAGGTTCCTCTTAGTACCTTACACTATCCACCCCTTTGCTGAAACACATAATGGCAGCTCTGCTTCATTACAAAAAGATTAAACTATGTTTCGCTCTATTCTACCCAGTGGAGCGAAGAAGGGTGTGATATATTTTTAAAGGACCGAAACAAAAATAGTTCTGCAAAAACAAAAGAAAACTATTCAGATACCTAAGTCCTTCAAATAATCAGGGGGGAAAAAAAAACTAATTATCCAAAATACCCCATATCTCTAATTCGTGAATTCCTGTGGAGCAGCCCTATTCGAAACATAGCTTGGAAAACTAATTTTTAGGGAGAAGAATAAGATGTTAAAAAAGGCTCATCTTCATTGTGCTCTAAACCAGTCAATCGGAACCTAGGCCATGTTAACTAACAGTAATGTCATAAGACAAAACCACAACCACAATCTCTCATGTCACATCCCCCAGCCAAACAGGATTTCAGAAGTCAGCCAAGCATCCTCCAGTCTAATCGCAACAATCTTTTTAAAAGAATCCTTTCTGTAGGCATATGAAGTCAAGAGTTAAATGCAGAGTGAAAACAACCAAAGACTCAAGGGAGCAATCAGTCCAAAGGGCCAACGAGTCCAAAGAAACAATGGACAATATGAACCACAGCCTACACGACCCTGAGACCAGAAGTACTAGATGGTGCCTGGCTACCACTACCAACTGCTCTTATTGTGATCACAACAGAGGGTCCTGGACAGAGTGGGAGAAAATTGTAAAACAAAAAATCAAATTCACCAAAAAAAAAAAAAAAAAAAGGTCAGACTTATTGGTCTGACAGAGACTTGAGGAACCTCCGAGGCTATAGCCCTAAAATACCCTTCTGGCCTGGAACTGAAGCCATTCCCAGAGACCACCTCCCAGCCAAATAAGAGACAAGCACATAAAATAAACAATAACACCCAAGAGAAACCAATTATATGAGATCAAAAGGGCAGTATCTGTCCAAAAGCAAAGATGAGAAGGCAGGAAGGGGAAGAAAATCAGGAGGAAAGAAAATGGGGAATCCAGGGCAGAAATGAGGAGAGTACTGACACATTGAGGGAACTGTGACCAATGTCTTGGGGCATTCTGTGTACAAATTGTTGAATGGGAAACTATTTTGTCCTGTAAACCTCTGCCTAAAGCACAATAAAGTATTAAAAAATAATAACACTTCAACAATAACTAATAACTACTCTATCTGGAGCTCTCGTAGTGCAGTGGTTAAGAGCTTGGCTGCTAACCAGAAGGTCGAGGTCTGAATTCACCAGCCGCTACTTGGAAACCCTATGGGGCAGTTCTACTCTATCCTATAGGGTCGTTATCAGTCAAAATCAACTCAGTGGCAATGAGTCTGGTTTTTTGTTTGGTATTCTATTTATACAAAAATGCCTTAATTTAAAAAATACTGTGTCCTTCTAATAGGCATATAACTTCTCAACTTCAAAATTGACAGAGGTTTGACAAACTGCAAACACGGTAAGAAGCATAACTGTACCATTCCTCATGGAAAGCAAATTCCAAATCAGATGCTTCTAAGTCTGTAAGGAAATATTCTTACAGAATCAGCACTTAAGCCCAGATTTAAATCCCCAGAACCATGCGACAAACCTTCTCACCTCCAATAATCACGAGGCTCGCTTCCGCAAGTCTAATCTGAACCGATACCTTATACGTTCAGGCAACAGTAAAAGTACTAACTTAATTTATCTACTAGTTAGCCAGTTAATTCTTCCTTGCAGGCAGAGTCCAAACTTAGATCTAAGTATAAGGAGCTTCACTGGAGGGAAATGGTAAACACTTAAATGTCTGTCAGTGAGATTAGTTCAACAAACTGTAAAACATTCATTCAGTGGAATACCACAAAGCCAGTAAAACTAACTCAGCAGTTCTATATTTACTAGCATTATATAGAAGCTTCGAGATAGTTTATCCCCTTAGAAAAGCAAATGTAGAAATGTGATTACTATGCTAGCCTCTGTATAAAAAAGAACGAATATGTATACAAACAAGCTTGTATAATATCAACTGTCAAGGACATGGTCAATTTGGGTATTTCTTAATCTCCTACTTAAAAGCAGTACTAACTACGAGAAAACTGGTTAACGGCCACATCTGGGGAAGGCAGGCAGATACTGGGGAGAGAGAGATTTACCTTTTACTATATATCATTTCTGTACTTTTTAACTTTTGTACCATGAAAATTTATTATCTAACTTTTAAATTAAATTTTTAAAAGTTTCGAATCCACTAGACTTATCTGACCAGTTCGGAAGTTCCACATTTATTTTTCTCACTATGTGACAGGACATTGATGAGTAACAAACCAAAACTGGGTAGACTAAGTCAAAAGTTACAACACATAGTACTTCTACTATATTAAAGTATTTCAAAGGAGCCCTGGCGGCGCAATGGTTAAGCACTTGGCTGCTAACTGAAAGGTTGGTGGTTTGAATCCCCCGGCGGCTGGAATCCACCAGTGGCTCCATGGGAGAAGGCTCTGATCTGCTCCCGTAAAGATTACAGCCTAGAAAACCCTATGGGGCAGTTCTATTGTGGCTTATGGGGTGACTATGAGTCGAAATCAACTTGACAGCACCTAACAACAACAAAGTACTTTAGAAAAGTTTCTCATACTTACAGCACTCTTAAAAAAAAAAAAAAAATTCAATATTTTTAAAAAACCTCAACAAATGCCATTAGTTTTTATTAGTCTACACAAAACAAAAAGAAGCTTTGCTTGTTCCTAAGCAGTCTGTAACAGGTCAGATAGCAGTAATCCAAGGAACCCCTACTTAATCAAGCTTAGGTAATTCCCCTTACTCTAAGGCCCTGCAAGAAAATTTCCCTCCCAGAATTCTTCTACTGTTCCACTCAAAAACAAAAACTAAATTATAAGATTGTTTGGTCTGCTAGGAAAAGGGAAGAGAGTGCTACAAATGGATTGACCATGTTTTTCACTGTGTGATGGTATAATGGTGGAGGTATTTCTGACCCTGTAAAATGCTGGCCACCAATCAGGTATAACTTATGAGCTTGTAATGAAATGTGGTTAAACTACCAGGAACTGTTTCAAGGATATGATCAATTTGGATATTTCTTAGTCTCCTACTTAACACGAGCACTAACTACTCCCCAGCCCATCTGCAGGTCAACTTCCTTTCAGGACCATAGGTATTGTTACCTCTCAGCAAGCTCCCAGTGACAAGTATAAAATGCCAATAAAATACAAAAAATCATACTCACTCTTACTACATCAGCGATTGTGTTCCTCTTTTCAAAATATTAGGAAGTGAGATTATGTACCCAAGCGCTCAGCATACACCTACCAGGCTGGCAAATAGCAGCCTCCTTCCTCCAATGCCCCGAAGAGTTTTCCTCTAAGGTGGTTATCCAGGTTTATATCCTATTATTTGTGAGGCTAGTCTTATTTTCTTCAGCTGCCCCAACATTTCTGGAGGTAACATTTTCCTCTATCTTTGGAATACTAGACTCATAAACATGCAAGCCTAGTAAAAGTTGCTTTCAGCTCTGAAATGTTGTGATTATGGGAAAACAGCCACTAAAGCAGGGGTCAGCAACTTTTTCTGTTAAGGCTGCTGTTGTTGGGCGCCTGTCAAGTCAATTTTGACTCACAGCAACCCCATGTGACAGAGCAGAACTGCCCCATAGGGTTTCCTAAACTGTAATCTTTTACGGGAGCAGATTATCAGGTCTTTTCTCCTGTGGAGCCGCTGGAAGGTTCAAGTCACCAACCTTGCAGCTGAGCACTTAACCGTTGAGCCACCAGGGCTGCTTTGTAAAGGGCTATCAGATAGTACACATTTTAGGCTTTGCAGGCCACATGCTGTCACATACTCTTTTTTTTTTTTTTTTTTACAACCCTTTAAAAATGTAAAAACCATTCACATCTCACAGGATGTATAAAACCAGGCACAGGTCAAACCAGCCACCACAGTTTGCCAATTCCTGCTCTAAAGGGTCAGTTCACTTTTATCCTTCGCATTTTCAGGGATTTTGTTTCCCCTTAAGACTTCTATTTAAATTATATGATCTGTGTATAATTAGGTCTAAATCTTAACATTTGTTTCATATTTCTAGTTCTTCATTTTACCACGTCCTGCTGTTAACAATTTCAGAAGTTAATATGTTAAAAAAAAAAAAAAAAGGAATGAAAATGATGAGTAAGAATAAAGAGGTGTGCAAAAACACCTGAGCAATCGTAGACAATGACAGAATGGCTCAAGAGATACTTTAAAGGAAACGACAGCTTGAACAATGTGAAATGAGCCTAGAAATGAATAACGATGAAATAAAAATTGCTTAGGAATAAAATTTTAGAATGAAAGTTTGAAAAGACATGTGGAAACAGTGATCAAGTCAAATGCAGGTATTTGGTATAAGAATCCTGGAGCCTCCCTCAAACCTGTTCTCAATGTCCATGCCACAGGCCCACCTGGAGAGGCCTCCTTGGCAGGAGGTGGTTTTAGGTGACTAGAGCTCCTGGCCTCTTCCCATTCTACATAAACTCAACATAAATCCATCTTACACACTGCTTCCACAAACCGTCCCCTGAAATAATCATCTCATCATGTCAGTCTCCTCCCCACTCCCCTCCCCGCCTTTCCAGGCCCACAAAATACTGTCCACACTCCCTGGTAAAGCAGACAACCAAAAAAAACTCATACCTGTTGTCCTCGAGGTTCACATAATCTAGCCGCGGCCCTATCCCCCATCTCTTCCCTAGGTCAGTTTCTCAACATGAAACCAGTTGCCACTGTGTCAATTTCAACTGACGGTGACCACATGTGTAAGAGCAGAACTGTCTCCACAGGGTTTTCAATGCTGAGTTTTTGGAAGTAGATCACCAGGCCAACCTTTCGGTTAGCAGTCAAGAGTGTTAACCGTTTGCACTCCTCTCAGACATTAGTGTGCCTAACATCACCTTTGTTGTTGTTATTTCCCTGAAGTTGATGCCAACTCATGGAGACGCCATGTCTGCAGAGTAGAACTGCTACATCGAGTTTTCAAGGCTGTGACCTTTCAGAAGCAGATTGCCAGGCCTTACTTCCAAGGTGCCTCTGGGTGGATGTGAACCGCCAGCCTTTCGATTAGTAGGTCCAGCTCTTAAACAATTGTGCCACTAGATTCCAAGGTCCTACCCTTCTCCCTGAAATTGATCCCCTAGCCAACCCTGAGAAACTACATTTTACAAGTACCCAGGCGACACCAAATAAGGATGCCAGAGGTACACATTTTGAAAAAAAAATCTGCAGAAGGAATGCTCATCTCTTCCTTTCTCTCACGGCAGGGTCATGTCCCCTACCTCCTGTTACCCCTGGGGCTCCCTTTCACCTTCCCTACCTCCTTCCTCCTAAATCAGAAAATCCAATGGATTTTTAACTAAACAGCCCAGTTTACTGACAGCTCTTCATATATCCTGCACTGTCTTCCTCACACCATACTGAACTTCACATGCTGTTTTCTCTGCCCGGAAAAATCTTCTTGTTGAAATAACTTCCCATCTTCCAAGACTAGGTTCAAGTGTCACTTTTCATGAGTTCTTCCCTAGGCAGAATTATTCTCTCTTTCCTCTAAACTCACCATATTTTGTTTATATATCTGTTATCAGTTAGCAAATTTTGCCTTGTTATTTGTATATGAGTCACTTTGAGGTTAGGGGGGAAATGTTCACAGCTATGACCTCCAGAGTGCCCAAAATAGTACCTCTGAAAGGTTTTGAGTTGAGTTTATCTAAAACTTCCTAAGATGCTATCCAAACAAAACAAACAAACAAACAAACCCAATGCCTTGTCCAGTCGATTCCAATTCCGACTCATAGAGACCCTACAGGACAGAGTAGAACCGTCCCATAGGGTTTCTAAGGCTGTAATCGTTACAGAAGCAGACTGCCACATCCTTCTCCCGTGGAGCGGCTGGTGGGTTCGAATCGCCAACCTTCTGGTTAGCAGCCAAGTGCTTTAACCACTGTGCTACCTGGACTCCTTAAGATACCATCAGGCCTATATTATTCCAAAATTGTGCTCTACAGAAACAAGTTGTCGAGAGAGATGCCAATATGTTAAATAATAGCTAACAGGATTTGTTTTGTCTTTTTTGGCCTTAGTGGGCAGTGTTTTTTAAAAAACTGAATCTGAATGCCTTGGGCAGGGCACCAAAAAGATTCATTTCCACAAAGGACTCACCACATATTTACTCAACAATGTTATTTGTCAGGCCACCAAAGGCTTTTGAGATTGTGAACCCCTCGTGGCTGCTAAAGCAGGAACTAAATGGGTAAGGAGGAAAACTTGAGAAACCAAGATGAACATGTGAAAACCAAAGAAAAAAGGGGGAAAACGGTAAGAAGATCAACCAAGAAATGAGGGTATCATCAACAGACAGGAAGAAATGGTAAGTCTGCGTGAGGCAACACCTCTACTGAAAAAGCTGGGAAGAAAGGGAAATTTTCTTAAAAATAGTTTTCACAGAAAAATCAGCAGACTTTACATAATGTTTTATGAAGAAGTATTAACCTGGGAATTTGAACACGGGCTTTCTAAGAAGAAACTCTTAAAGGAAAAAAAAAATTAAACAATACTAGTGGTTGTTATATAAATACAACAGCAGTTCTTAAAGGCTTATTTATATCTTTGACTTAAAAAATATATCAAAGACTACATTATAATCTTAACATTTGTCAAAGACACTTTTCACATCACTTTAAATCGTTTACCTGCCAACTGCAAATGCAAAAGCAGATTTGAAATTAAACAAGAGGCATGAGTTGAGTTCTTTCTCTTCTCCCTTCTTTGGCAGCTTTACACAGCAGTAGAGGAATGGAACTTCACTCTTCATCACCTTCTCCTAACCTCTACATCAGAAGGACCAGGAGACTTCATTCCACAGCCCCCAGAGTTCATAAATCCCTTTGCTTCCTGATGAAGCACAGTGGGATTAATTATAACAAATAAGTTGTATATCATGCTATCAGCCTGAATATTAATCTCTCAGTCATTTACAGCCTACTCTCAACTCTAAAAGGAGCCCTGGTGGCACAATGGTTAAGCGCTAGGCTGCTAACCAAGAGGTTGGCAGTGTGAACCCACGCAGTGGCTCCGCGGGAGAAAGACCTGGCCATCTGCTTCCATAAAGATTACAGCCTAGAAAACTCCGTGGAGCAGTTCTACTCTGTCACATGGAATCTCTATGAGTCCAAACCAACTCCACAGCACACAACAGCTCAATCCCAAACAGGAACCTGCAGCAGAAAGAGCCAAGACCGAAAACGCAGCAGTAAATCCCCGAGTGACTAAATCTTGGCGCAACTTCTCTGATCGCTGAGTAGTTTACAGAAGAGGCATTCCAAGCCAAGGTGGAAGCAAAATTCTTTAGCCAAAATACAGTTGATCTGCCCAGCCTAAAATTATCTGTTCTAATACATGAGACAAACACGTATGCCTTGTAAATACTGCTTATCTTGCACCAGCAGACAAACTGGAAGCCTTGTTTTAACATGGATCACTAGATGGAGAAATCCGGAGTTAAAATTATGAGCAGTCTCTTGACCTCGAATGTTATGTTATTTTGCCTTCGAACATCAAAGAATACCGTCATGAAACACCAGGTAAAAGCAGCAAAACACAAAACACAGCTGTGTCATTTTTTTTTTAATAAATGGCACCCAAAAAAGACAATCAACTACCAAGTGGCAATAAAAAGTTGTGGCAGACGGCCTCTCTGCGAATAGGAATGTCCAAACACAACGAAATACCTAAAATTCTCCCATACTCAACATCTGAATTCTCCTATCCCTGGTAGCTATGAGTCCGAATCGGCTCCAAGTCAGTGGGTTTGGTTTTTTTGTTTGTTTTGCCCTCTTCTCTTCACTGGAAACCCGCTAACAACACACCCGTGCCAAATCGAGTCGGAAAACCCTTTCAACTTCTCTCCACTTAACACTCGGGGTAACTGACTCCCTGATCCTCACCTCCCCACTGAACCTGTTCCTGAGGTCTTCTAATTTCCTTCTCGAGGGTCCCTCAGATATCCCCACTCTGCCCCCACCTTTTACTTCCACTCCTTCTTCCACCGAATACCTTAACCCCTTCCCTCCCGTTCCTGTGCCGTCGCCCCTTCTCCCCGGGTCTGGCTACTTTCACCTGCGCGCGCGCGCCCACGGCTCCCTGACCCCCTTCCTCAAGCCCCCAACTTGCTCGGAGCGCCCCCTCTTCACACCCTCACCCCATCTTCTTTGCACCGCGGGCCCACCCCCCAGCACCTCAACCCTCTCCTTCTACAAGCGCAGTCCCAGTTCCCCGGCCGCTGGCCACCGGACACTGTGGTCCCGTGGAGAGGCCACGCCCCCCATGGATAATGGGTGACGGGGCGCCCCCGCCCCGCCCCCCCAATCCACCTCCGCAGGGCCCGAGGCAGCCTCGCTCACCCACACGGAGAGGCTGTCCGAAAGCAGGTACTGGGCCACGTCGCGGGTCCGGGGACTCCTGGCGTCCGCCCGGACGGGAACGGGCTGCTCCGACTCGCCGGGCCCAGGCCCAGCCTCGGGCTCGGGCTGGGTGAGGGCGCGGTAGGCGCTAACGATGGTGCCGAGCAGGGCCAGGCCGCTGAGGCCCGTGTAGGTACGGAGGCTTGGCCAGGGAAAACGCTCGAGGAAGAGCAGCGGCATGGCGGCAGCCGCGGTCTCCAGACCCCAAGCCTCCCCGCGCTGCGGCCGGGATCCTGCGGCGGCCTTGCGAACT